AGAGAACAAATTGCAGCAGTGAGTTCTCTCCTTCCACCATGTAGGTTCTGGGGAGCAATCTCAAGTCATCAGGCTTGATGCCTTTACCTGCTGAGGACCCGTGATGGCTAATATTGTCAACTTGACAGGACCAAGAACCAGTAGGAGACAAGCCTCTGGGCATGCTATAGAGATTATGTTGATTAGGTTAATTGAAATGGAAAAACTCATCATAAAAGTTGGTGGCACCATTCTCTGGGCTTGGAATCTCAACCTCACATGAAGGAGAAAGCCAGCTGAGCAGGAGCATTCATTGCTCTTTGCTTCCTGACTGGGGATACAATGTGACCAACTCCTTCCAAGTTCCTACAACCATGACTTTCCCATATTGATGGATTGTGCCACCAAACTGTAAGCTAAAATAACCTTTTTCTTTTCCAGTTGCTTTGTCAGGGCATGTTAGCATCAGCATTTAGTAACTAAAATAGGTTTGATTCTCAGCACCACAAAAAAGAAGAGACTCCTCACTCATGTTTACAGTCAGTCTTGTTCCCACATCTTACCCACAGTCACGGACACCTTTCTGATCCATAAATTTGCCTTTTCTGGACATTCAGAAATCATCACATAGTACATTATCTTCTGTTCTAGAGCCTTTCACTTAGCATACCCTCTTCCAGACTGACCCAGAATTCACTATGTAGGTCAAAACGACTCTAAACTCTTGCGTGTCAGGACTGTAGGTATGAAACCTGGCTCATACAGTTTTCAGTCTTGTTCCTAAACCAGCACATTCAAGGAATCCCACAGTATGGGCATACTTTCATTGTTTTTCTAACCCTGTCTCTAGGGATGGATATTTTGGTTGTCTTCAAGCTTTGGTTTTTACACATGGTGCTGCAGTATATCCTCTCCATGTGCTCTCTGTGAGCATGACTGTAGGACAGGGTCCTAGAAGTGCAATCCCTGGATTAAAGAGTGTGCACATTGAGACAGAAATCATCAGCCAGGCATGGAAGTGCATGCTTGCTATCCCAGGACTCCAGAGGCTGAGGTAGAAGACTATGAGTTCAAGACTGGCCTGGGTTATATAATGAGACCCCGTGTCAAAAACAAAACAAACACATTATAAAAAAGGCATTCTTTGATTGCTTTCTCTGAAGATACCTGGTTCTCTGTCTTACCAGCAGTGGGGAAATAGGATATTCTAATCAGACAAGTTTGACCTCAAACTGTAGGCTGTAAAGCTTGGATTTGACTCCCTGCAATGCCTCCTCAAAATAGCCCAAGCAGCCCTTATCTCTTTCTCCTTATAGACTCTCTTGTTTTAATGGATGAAACATTTTCATAATAATAGCTCATGTACTAGTGGCTACAGAAAACTTATAGCTTAAAGAATACAATAACACAAAGATTCCCAGGCACCCATCATGTAGGTTAAGAAAGAAGACTTGACCAGTCTCTCAAGAACCTTGCTTGCTTGGAGCACCCCGCCCTTACCCTTGAGTGTAGGCTTCCCAGTGTTTGTGGCCACTATTCCTTTGCTTATAATTTTTGTTGCATTTGTTTAGAGAGTTTATGTCCAGTCAACTTAACTCAGATGGAACCATTTCCCAAATTTTCTTCTTTTCAGAAAGACCAGAGGAGCACAGGCCAGCAGGGACCTTTGTGTGAGATCCGGAAGCTGGAAGGAGAGCACTGGCAGTATGCTTGTTAACGCTTTGAAAGCCCAAGGTTGTTGTGTTGGTGTGGAACAGCAGCAACATCCACAGTATCTCAGTGTGTAAAAGTTTTTCTTCATGATGCATGTCACTCATGTAAGGTTGCACTGATGTAAGTGTCAATATGTCCTGATAGGCCCCAGTGCGAGAATGTGTGGTGTGTGTGTGTGTGTGTGGTGTGTGTGTGTGTGCTCCACTTCATGTCTGTTTTTTCTTCAAGGTTGTCCTGCTAGATTTGGGTCTTGTTCAAGAAGCAATGCCAAGAGCCTGGCACAGACACTTCATAGCTCCTACCATGATATGAACTTACACCTCAGATTTCTCCTTGTGGTTCTGTGCCTCGGGTTGAACCCTGACTCACACAGCAGGGGTCTTCAACTGAAGGATCTGCTTTGCCTGTTTTTAAGTTTTATCTTGGGCTCTGATGGCTTCTTTGACCATCTACCAGTACAGAGCAGGTGATCAGTCTAAGCCTGGTCCCACAGCTGTGTCCCCATTCCTCAGCTGGCTCTCATCTGACACTCAGCAGTGTCATTTTAATGCATTCATGAGTCTAGGCACAGACGAAATGGACAGATCTTCCCAGGATGTGAGAGACCTCCAGGGAAGTTACCTACACAATTTCTCACTATATTTCAGCCCGAAATGAGACAAGGATTCTCTCGTATTGTTTGTACCTATAGTCCTGATACTCAGGAGTTTCAGGCCATTTTGACTTGCATGTTGAGTTCTAGGTCAGTCTGGAGCTGGGTATGCTGAATGATAGTGTGTGATCTCTCCGTCACAGAAGCAAAATATCCGGCAAAAGTTGAACTGAGTATTTATTTGAGTTGTAGACCGTCCAGCCACGAGGCAGCGGTCAGTTGCTTCACCCAGCTAGGTTTCAGTTTCCTCAATACCTTTGGGTTGGAAACCTACTGACCTCATTGACCCTGAAGGTGGTGTGGTTCTCCATGGGAGTCTGTGTACAGTGTACGTTAATGTCGCACATAAACAAAGCTAACTTCTTTTAGGGGAAGTGATCGCTATTACTATTATCATTATTATTGTTGTTGTTATTGTTGTTGGCTGGAGATCAAACCCAGAGTCTCTAGCATGCTGGGTAAGCTACATTCCTTACTACTGAGCTATACCCCCAACCCTAGGAAACATTTCTGGGCATTTATTTATTTATTTATTTGCCACAGGGTCTGATGCAGGTCAGGCTGCTCTTGAATTTTCTGTGTAGCTGAGGATGACCTTGAACCTCTATTTTTTCTCTCTTTACTCCTCCTCTTTACTTCTTAGCAGCTAGAATGATGGGTGTGTGCCACCATGCCTGGTTTATGGTGTGCTGGGGAATGAACCCGGGGCTTCATGAATGTCAGGCAAACACTCTACCATGGAGCTACATCCCTAGTTCCTGGGAGGAGGGTGTTTAGTTTTAACTGCTCCTCAAATAGACTGGAAGCCTCTTGATTTGCTCAATAAAGGAACCCCATCCTGCAGAGACTGGGAGTGTGCATGGAGAGGCATCATCAACTCAGAGGGAGATCGCTCAGCATCAGGACAGATGGTGTTATTGGAAGGAGAGGAACATAGTTATGAAGCAAGAAAAACAGGTTCAAGGCAGAAAAGGAGGGGGCCTTTAGACAGTGGGACTCAGGTCTGGAATGTGGCAAGGAAGAAAAGAATCAACAGCTCAGAGGAAGGTCTGGATTTGCCCTTTCCTGGAGATGTTCTCGCTGACTGGTGAGGGACATGTGCCGAGACTGTTCATATGAGAGAGAGCAGGTGTGGGGGCAATCAACAGTGTTCACATCAGTACAGCCAAATTTCAGCTGCTTTTGCTCTGCGGTCTTGGTCTCTTCCTTATTTTCTGCAGACAGTGGCATTTCCAGGCCTTGTTTGAGGAGCAGAGAGCAGAGAGCTGAGAGCTGGAACAAAGGTGAGCCTTAGCTTGGCCTCCTCCCTCTGACAGTCCTCACGAGGAGCAATCTGGCCAGGTGCCGTGCTCGGGGAGGACAGCAACAATTCCCTCTGGCAACTCTATGTGTTCTTTCAGCATTTCTGTCCTGTTGAATCAGAGGTATGGTTGAGTCACACTTGATCCTGATTCTGAGCTCAGTGCAGGACATTGAATGTGCATGAAACAGGGACTATATACTGACTTAATCCCTTTGACTGAATAGTTTCATAAATTGTGAGTGAAAGCTGTCTACTCTGAAGCCTCATTCTGCCCTTCTCAAACTTGTGGAACTATAGGGTTCAGTCCCTCTTAAAGCAAGAGCCTATGGCCATAGCAGGCTGCTCAGAGTCAGGGTCCCTCTTGACAAAGACCCTTCAGAGGCAAACCCTGTTTGTTTAGGGCACTGCTGTATCCCAATCCCCCTGGAGACCTGTCAGTCAATGTATAGTGAAAAGATGAGTCAGAAGCTAGGGACATAGCTCAGTGAGTAGAGTGTTTGGCTAGCATGCAGAGTCCTGGGTTTAACCCCAGTACCATATAAACCGGACATGGTGGCGCACATCTGTAATCCCAGGACTTTGGAGGCAGAGGCAGGAGGAGCTTTTGATCAAGTTCATCCCCAGTTATACAGCAAGTTTCAGGCCAACCTGGTATACATGAGACTTAAAACTGAGCCCAACCCACACTTAAACCTTCCCCTCCCCGCAAAACCAAGAATGACTCAAATCCTTTGTCTCTTCTGACAGGTTACAAATCACCTCCTCACTGGTAACTAGTGCCTGCTTGCTACACCTTGAATGAGGGTTGGGTGTTGGAAAGGGGGGAAAGGGAGGGGAGAACTCTCCCTGGGATCTGCTGCTGGAGTCTCCTGGCCCACGCTTCTCCAGGGAGCTGAGCAGCTGAACTTGTAACCCTCTGTGCCTTCTAAGCCTGTTCCTAATGCTTTTGAGTGCTGGTCCGACCAAAGACATGGGAACACCAGAGGTATCCAACACATACTTCTTCCAATGATCCATGTTCATTTAAGGGGGCTTGGGCTGGGCATGAAAGGGCAGACAGACAGGGACAGGCAGGTCTCTGTCCTCATCTCCTCACTCTGGAGGACAGTGAAATGGTTCAGCAAGTAAGGACCCTTGCCATTGGGTTGTCCTCTGACCTACACACAGTGCTAACACACACACACACACACACACACACACACACACACACACACAAACATGGGACAGGGAGAATGTTAAAAAAAAAACTCAACCAATTAAAACAGCAACACAAACTCTCACCCAGGACTTCTGTTCACCATTGCTCAGTGTCTCCTTGGAAGTACTGAAATAAATACACAACTACAAGTGGGCTATATATATTTCAAAAGACATTTAATGGTCACACTGTACAAGAAATTATAAGGTAGATAGTTCTGCAGTGGTTCAGTGCTTAACCTTTTTGTAGACTTAGATTTTATATTTCTGATAAACTGAAGTAAAATACACATAACAAGAATGGTCATTTTAGCTTTTTGTTTTGTTTTTTGAGGTCCTAGGGTTCAAGCCTGAGTTCTCAGAAATGTTAAATAAGCATTCTCCCAGCGAGCAATGCCTAGCCCGCATCTTAACACTTTTAATGCAGTGGCAATGAGTACTTTCATACTACGTCACAGGGATCAGGGTCCATCTTCAGGGCTTTCCCATGATCTCTATCTGGAGCTGTGTCTTCCACGCTAACTCCTCACCTTTCCTCACCCAGCCTCCAGTCATCACTATTTGATTATTCTTGGGACTTTTCACTGTGGGACGCTCTTCGGTTGTGTTTAACTTGTTCAACACCTTGTTTAATGTATCCTTCCGTCTGTTGGCCATCATACAAATGTCTGAGCCCCGGCTTTCAATTCTTTTGGGTACCCGTTTTAGAGATGGACTTGTTGGATTACATGGTGATTCTATATTTAATGTTTTATGGAAAACTGCTATGCTATGTTCCACTGTGAGTGAGGTACTATGGTACATGTCTACCAGTAAGGTGAAAAGTTCTCTTTTTCTGCTTCCTCAATGACATTTGCTATTTTCTCTCCTCCACCTCTTCCTTTGACTGCTAACTGTTCTGATGGGTAGGAGGCAGTATCTCACTGTAATTTTAATATGTGCTTTTTAGAAAAGAGTGGGGTCTAGTGTTAGGATGGACCAACTCTATCAGTAGGCATACCAAGATGGAAGGGAGTGAACAGCCAGTACAGGTGTTCTAAACTCTGCAATGGGGGCTCTGGCAAGAATGTGGCCTCTGTCTTCCTGTAACTGTAGAGGAGGGGCTGCATCAATTCAAATACCACAGTCTCTGGTAATGAGCCATACTGAAGCACAAGAAGGAACCCTGAGGGGCCACAGTTTAGGTCAACAGTCAGAGTGTAGTGGAGGTGTTCGCTGAAGAAGAGCTAACAAAAGAAGGCCTGCCCTCCTTGGCTAAGAACTCCTTGCTGACAAGGCCATAAGTAGCCATGATCTTGAGAAGTCCATGGCGAAATTTCTGGCCAATGAAGGCATAGATGATGGGGTTAAGGCAGCTGTGGAGGAAGCCAAGAATCTCAGTGGCATCCAAGGCCTTGTCAATGTCACTGCGGCGCTCGCAGGTCTCCTGGATCAGATTGGTTCTCATGAGGGTGTCTGAGAACAGGACCAGGTTGTAGGGCAGCCAGCAGAGCAGGAAGACTAGGACGACAGCAAAGATGACCCGCATGGCCCGGTGCTTCTGCCCCATGTGGGCCTTAAAGAGCGTGCGCAGTGTGAAGCCGTAGCAGAAGAGCATGATGAACAGTGGCACGAGGAAGCCAAAGGACTGAGGCAGGATGCGCAGTACCACCCTCCACTTGGATGTATTGTTACCTGCATCCTCATAGCAGACTAGGGTATAAGCGTTTGCCCTAACGGTACTCCGCAGAATTGAGATGGGCAGGGATAGAACTAGTGATAGTAACCACATGGTTAAGCACACAAACTTGACCAAGTGTCTCTTCTGGATCAGTGTACTTGTGGCATGGACGATGGCCAGGTAGCGGTCCATGCTGATGCAGGCTAGCAGCAGAACACTGCTGTAGAAGGTAACCTCCTTCACATATGAGACTATCTTGCACAGGGTTGAGCCAAAAATCCATCCCTTTACTTTAGATGCAGCCCAGACAGGCAAGGTCAGGGCAAAGAACAGGTCAGCAATGGCTAGATTCAGCAGGTAGACATCGGTGACAGAGCAGGTGCTCCGGTTGTATAAGATGACCAGCATCACCAGGGAGTTTCCCACAAGGCTCAGTAGAGTTACCAGGACGTATATTACAACTACAGCATATCTGTTGATATCTAGGTTCTCTGAGTGGCATGGGGCAGCATGTTCCATAGAAGGGGGCATACCAGAGCTATAGTTGTAATTATCAAGATCTCCACTGAAGAAATCTTCAAGGCTGAAATTATCCACCCTGATTTCTCCCATTTTTGAGGTAAACTTAATCCTGTCAATAGAGGAGAGATGAAGGTTACTACATGGCAAAGATACCCTGATTCTTGTCTATCCCCTCCAAGAAACTGGGATATGAGGGTTTTCCCCATTGGCTTGCACATTGCAAGGAAGAATCTATTTCCTTCAAGTTTGTAAATGATAGCAGTAAGCATTTGAGACAAAATAGTAATAAATAATAAATGAGACATTTGTGGGGAATAAAAACAGTTCTCTTCAAGATTGTTTTTTGAAATAGGGTCTTGGTTGGCTTCAAACATGCTGTGTCGCCAAGGATGTACAAATTTTATATATATATATATATATATATATATATATATATATGTATATATATACATATATATGTGTGTGTGTGTGTAAAATGCAAATTATATACATACATATATACAGATTTGTATATATGTATATAATATATTCAAATTATATATACATATACAAATATTTGTATGTATGTATATCATATATACAAATTTTATATATACATATATAAATATATAGAAATTATATATGTGAACACATATATAAATCATATATATATAAAATTTGTACATCCTTGGCTATACAACATGTTTGAGGCCAACAAAGACCTTGTAAAAAAAATATGATTGATACATGTGTATCTATTATATATGTTATATACATAATATATACATACACATACATAAACAGAAATATGTATATATACATATATATGAAAATGTTATAATTAAACTCATATGCATAACTAAAATGTGCTAGTAAAACATTAAAAAGATACAAAATATTACAAAGCAAATACAAACATTAAAGCAATAATAATAATAAAACAACAAATGGGCTTGAGAGATGGCTTAGTGGTTAAGAGCACTGGCTACTCTTGTAGTGCTTTCAGGCTTGGCTTTCAGCACATACCCAGCAACTAACAACTCTCTGTAACCCCGGTTCCAAGGGACCTTCTGTCCTCCTCACATCCCAGGCATATGCATGGTAAATGTACATACTTGCAGGTGAAACGCCCAATGTACATAAAAAATTAAAAATAAATGTAAAGAAAATGACAAAAATGGACAGACATGGAGCCCGGGTGATAGAACGATGGCCCGAGAGTCTCAGAGTCCTCTGTAGGGTTCCCAGAACTGAATAAATGAGGCATGACGGCATCTGCTACCAGTCCCAGCACTCAGCATACAGGGGGTGGAGGAAAGAAGATTAGGACTTTGAAGTTATCTTTGGCTACAAGGCAGTTCAAGTCTATCCTGGCCTATATGAGACCCCACCCAAAGCATCACCATCAGCACCACCACCACCACCATCATCATCAATGAAACAACAGTAACAACAACAAAATTGAAAGCAAAAACAACGAGGTTGAAGAAGTGGCCTGTTGGGTAAAAGCTTGCTACCCAAACTTGTCACTCACTGCCCTTAGTTTATCGTTGGGAGATCACACTTGTTTCATTGGGTATGTTCACTCCAAAGCATTTTGCTTTACCATTCTTCCAGAAGATTGACCCTGCACACACCAAGTGCACACTCTGCCACAGAGCTACAACTCCACAGATTTAAGATCTTGAATTATCTTTCAGTCAGTGTGAGCACAGCCCCCTCTCATTGCATGGAAGCTTGGTACCACCATCTTTTGCTGTCCCTTAGGCTGCAAATTAATGAAATAGCTATGGCTGGAATGGTAAGGGAAACGCCTTCAGCTGAGGGCCCCGCCATGTCCTCCATGATGGAGTAGGAGCTTCTGGATTGAATGGAATTACCAGCTCCTTAGAACTTGCATTAGCCCAGAAGTTCCAGGGCTGGGATGAATTAGTGAAACATAAGCAAAAGTTCAAGCATGTGGGAAATTTTCAGGCCCCAAACATTTCAACAACAGATAACCAAGTCACTGTACTATGACCCCAATTCTCATTCCTTTTAGAAATACAGCCCATGCTGGGTGATGGTGGCGCACACCTTTAATCCCAGCACTTGGGAGGCAGAGGCAGGCGGATTTCTGAGTTCGAGGCCAGCCTGGTCTACAGAGTGAGTTCCAGGACAGCCAGGGCTACACAGAGAAACCCTGTCTCGAAAAAAAAAAGAAAGAAAGAAAGAAAGAAAAAGAAAGAAATACAGCCCATAAGTGCAGCACAGGTGTGAGAGCCCTCAATGCCTCAATGCACATGTATCTCCAGATCCAGCTGTAGCTCTGGCAAGGCAAGTGGGCAGGCTTCGGAAGACTGCAGGCCCAGGGCAGGGGCTGGATTGAAAGTAATTCTAAGCAGTTTCTTGAGGGGGGCAGGAAGGGGGTCATAAGTTCTTCCTCTTTGCTAAGGAGGCATAATGTTTAGGAGTCAAGCCAGGGAGGAGGGGCACACTCGTGGCCAGGCTGGGGTCGAGTGACAGAGAGAGAAGTTCGAGGTGGTGGTAAGGGTGTTCCAGACTCACCAGGATGCTGGCTTTTCACCTGTGAGACACCTAAGGTGTGTCCCATGAAGAGCAATGAAGCTCTCTAGAGGAAGTGAGGGATGGATTAGATTGCTCAAGCAGGGGAGGAGCTCCCGAGGGCATGAGATGGGTTTGATGTTTTAAGTATGAATTCTCAGCCCAGCGCTCACGGATGGTGTCATCCTATGGATTTAGAGAGTTCATATTGGGAAGTGACCCGATGAGGCTTTCTAGCCTGTCTTTCCAGGTCTCAGTGGGGAGGAAACAGGCCCAGACAGAGGAAGGGGTTTGCTCAGGACCACATCTCTCTCCTCTTTGCTGTAATCTCCAAGCTTCTGGCTCCTGCTGCTGGGGGTCTGCTTCTCCCACATCCAGCCAGCCCAGGTGGTTCTATCTTGCCATTCGGCTGAACCATTGCTCTTTCTGGTTCAAGTGGGGCAGCTGAAGCAGGCAGCAGAGCTGAACTCTGAGGTCCTGGCACTTCCAGCCACTCTCCTCCCTGAACTGGAAGCTGCTCGCTTTCCTTTCTCCCAAACTCTTCAAAAGCATCCAGACTCTTCCTCTTTGCCTTACCCTGAACCTCTGAGCAGCTTCACCCCCACATGGAGCTCTAATCCTTCCTCTCTCATCTTTTGCTTGTCTTCCAGCTTCCTGTGCCAAGCATGTGTCCAGTTTGGGGTATTGCTATGCTTTCTTGGCTCATATACTTGGCAGCAAGTTGAGGATTTCAGTTCCACGGCATTGCTGACCCACCCTGGGGACCACCCACCTCTCCTGTGAAAACAGCCTTTTGGTAAAAGTGACAATCCCGACCCAGTATTGACACATTTTGAAAACTTGACACCAGGAATATATCTTGTCACCTTTACTACTGATTTACAAATGACAGGATTACTAAAGGTAGAGTCATGAAGGTCCATTATCTGCTCCCTTCCTGACATGCCTGGGGACAATGTTGAAATTCCACCACTTCTATAAATAGACTGTGTCCCAGAGTCTAGAGCACATACACTGGGTCACAGCTGCTGAAGTGGTCTACCCTAGGGGAAGGATCTTTAAATCCAGCTTCAGCAATTACTCCTTAGTGTTTATCTGGTCTGGGCCAGTGGATGCTAAAACCTGATAGTGAAAGGTTGAGTGGTAGATACGTGTCACACACACACACACACACACACACACACACACACACCACAGCAGTAGCTTATACCGTGATTCTTAGAATTGAGATAGTGTATCTACGGACAACTAGCCTCTTTCATCACATCCTCAGTCAGAGGATGAGTCAGGGAGAGAAGCAAGCCTACCTAGTTTTCAGGGCTGACTCCCGTGGGCACCTTCACATGCTCTGACCTGGATAATGTTTGTCAAATTAGTTGTCATCTGGATGGCTGACTGGCTTGCTGCCTCACAGGCAAAGGGATTTTTACCATCTATTTTGTCTTTCAACCCTCACATCAATGAAGTGGACATGTTCCGGATGAGGAAACCAATCCTGGGGGTTAGGCAATCTACCTTGAGTGGAACAGCTCAAGGCAGTAAACATTTTTAAATAGATAGTAAAGTCTGCTCTTACATTTTCATTTGTCAAATGTCACAAGGAGCAAGGTCCTGGCCTCAGCCAGTCTCAGTTTAGCTCCATAGGTGACTACTTTGTCTCAGACAAATCAAATACTACTGGAGTGGGAAATAAACCCACACTGGGCATTTCTTAACCGCCCACGCCCACTTCTGTTTTTTTTTTTTTTTTTTTCCTGAGACAGGGTTTCCTCTGTGTAGCCCTGGCTGTCCTGGAACTCACTCTGTAGACCAGGCTGGTCTCAAACTCAGAAATCTGCCTGCCTTTGCCTCCCAAGCGCTAGGATTAAAGGCATGTGCCACCACTGCCCAGTCATAGTTTTGTTTTTTGAAAAAGAGTCCTAATCTTGGTCCTGCCCTCGGGGGTCAGGGTAAAAGCACTGTCTTTCTCTGGGCCTTGCTGCTCTCCTGGAAGACACTGGTTTATTTCAGGTCTTTCCTGCCCAGATCTGTAGCTGTAGCCCATTTATTTAGCTCTTTAAATGAAAAGCAGCTGAGATAGAATAAAATTTGCTTCGTTGGAAGCTGGGGAGATGATTTTGTTGGCAAAAGCACTTACTGTTCATCAGGTGACCTGGGTTGGATCCCCAGATCCCATGTGAAAAACTGACTCCACAAAGCTATCCTCTGACCTCCACGAGTATCCCATGGCACACTAACTAACTAACTAACTAACTAACTAACTAACTAAATAAATAAATAAATAAATAAATTTACTTAAGTGGCTGTTGCTGCTACATTTCAAAGACTCAGTGGCCACAGGTGACCAGCTGCTTCCATGTTAGACCGTGCAGATATGGAGCATGCTTATTTTAAAAAGTGCTTTGATATAGCGCTGGCTACTTGAAGATGCAGATCCCAGCTCTGAGGTTCTACAATGCGGCATGCCGCTTCCCAGGGCTCCAGAAAAGGCAGAGTTCCCTGGTCCCTTCTACCAGAAATATAATCCCCAGTCAGTGATCAATCAGCTCTTACCTGCAGTAGCTCTACGAGGCTGTTGCGAGTGGAATGGCTCCCAACTCTCTGTGACTCAAGGCTTGGAAGCTGTCAGGGCGGGTTGAACTGGAAGAAAGTGAGACAGCAGTGATGTGGAAACTACTGACCTGGGCTACCGATGGGGAAGTCCTGGAGGCCCTTGGGACCAAATGTCCCACCCCCAAGGGAGGTGTCCTACAGAGGAGCAGCTAGTCTGTTCTGGGACTCTGGCTTCAGGCTCAGGTTCACCTGGTGATTCTGAGATGAGCTCTTGGGATTTTCATGCCTCTGATGACTTCTAGAGGAGACTGCCAATCTGAAGGTAGAGGTCAGCTTCCTTCCCAGTCTGTGCCTCCTTTTTAACAAGGAAGACATGGGTGTCCCAGACCCTGCTGAAGGACTTAGCTGAACTTGAATTTACACTTCCTTCCTTCCTCTTAGGGTCAGCAAGAGAGCTGGTGTGTTTCCGTTTCTTGTGAGCCCCTGCCCCAGCTTGGGGCCTCTGCCTTCTTTCCTGGGTGAAGATCTGCCTTCTGCCACAATTGGCTCCTCACAGTCAGCCTGAACTTAGCCCTTCTCCCTCTGTCTCAGAACCCTTTGCCTCTGTTCTGCAGTTGCTTGGTTCTTCCTCATCTGCCTCTCATTTGCTGCCCCACAACATGCTAAAAAGGGGCTTCCTTTCCTACTCTGCAAAGGTGACCAGAGACGCCTGGGCTAGGGAGTGGGGTATCCCTGGCAACCTTTTGTCTTCAGTTGAATTATTTTCATATTAACAAAATAATATCTAGAGGCAAGCAGATTGGAAGTGAGACAAGGAATACAAAAGCATATATGTAGAACCTAGAAGTTTCTCTTCACTCAAATCATTCCCCATGATAACCACCCATCCACATTGTTGAGATCAGGCTACACCCTACTCTAAGATACTCCATGTTGTACAAAAACCAGTGGGTTTCAGGCTGTACTTTGCCCTGAGACATCTTTTGTCCAAAGAGGTATTTTTTTTACCTTATTTTGATTACGTCCCCCATGTGGACTCTCAAGTACCACCACCTGCCTGCCACCACCCAGATAGCATAGATTGATGAATGACATTCCTGCAAATAAAACCAGTGTTAGCCTACAAATTTGTTGGGATGAATTGAGACTGTAGGGACACTTGGGCATATTAAAATCAAATCAAGGAAGCCAGAGCCAAGAGCTTATCTGACACGCCAGACTGAGGAAAGGGTGGCATCCCCTCACGTGGACCTCGTAAGGTGGTAGACTCTGATCCTGCTGTGACTCCATCAACCAGTCATCTGACAAACAGAGACTTCTGGGTTATCCCTAGGTCTTCAACTCAATGCCTAGGTTCCCCGCTATCGATGCAGCCTGCTTGACTGCTGTTTGCCCATCTACCTATTTGACTGTAGGTAGGGTTGAGTCTCTTTTCCTAAAACTACATGTATATGCTCTACTTGTAGTTTCCTTTGTGAATTCTTATTCTTATCTATTTTCCTTTCAAATTGGATTATGATTCTTTTGTCATTGCTTTGTGAAAACTACGTAACTTGGGAGTATAATATTTTGAACATCTATCAGTCATGTTAACATACTTCCTCTCAGCCTGCTGTGCTTCTGGTTAATTGATTTAAATCATTTTACATTTATTTGTTTTGTGTGAGAGGCACATGCATGTCCCACAGCACATGTATGGGAGTTAAAGGACAAATCGTGGGAGTTGATTTTTCTTCTTTGACTAGGTGTGATCCGGGATCGAATCCGGATTGTCAGGCTTGGCTGAGAGTGCTTCTGCTGGTTGAGTGTCTCAGCAGTCCTGTTTACTTTGATGCTGGGGATAGAAGTCAGAGAGAGCCTTGCATACCTCAAGTACTCTGCCACTGAGCTGCATCGCTGAGTCTACTGGGTGCTTTTGTACTTTATAGTGAAAGTGAATGTTCAAATCTTATTATCTTTCATGTCTACATCACGGAGTCCTGCTGGCTTGCTCTCTTTGAATTTATCCCTACTTTCTCTGGATGTCATTTGCCTTGAGGTTTTACCTTGGGCTTCTCAGTCTATTAGCTCTTCATGGTGAGTCTGATGGCCTTTGTGGCTTTAGCTAGGATCACTGGTCAGTGTCTTTAGCACCTATTGTCCCCAGCTTCTTTCCCAAGCCCCAAAATCCTATGTACTGATCACCCAAGTCTCCCTTAAGCTCCCCAGATGCTGCAAACTCAAAATGTACAACAGTCTAGATCAGCGGTTCTCAGTCTTCTGAATGCTGCGACCCTTCACTACAGTTCCTCATGCTGTGATGAGCTCAACCACAAAATTATTTTCGTTGCCACCCCATAAGTGTAATTTTGCTACTCATGAGTTGTAATGTAAGTATCTGATATGCAGGATATCTGATATACAACCCCTGTGAAAGGGTCATTTGACTCCCAAAGGGGTCGCAACCCACATGTTGAGAACCTTTGCTCAAGCTTTGTCACTCTCACTCCAGATGCCTGTGTTGTCCCTCCTGACAGTTCTGTCATCTCCTTCTCTGCCCCACCCCCACTCTTCCTCTCCTTCCCTCTTGCTTGTCTTCTCTATACCACCTTCCCAGACAGGGTTAGGCAACAGTAGTTATGCAATGCTTGTGGGTTCCAGAGCCGGGAGTTAGAATTCACTTATGGGTTATAAACTGACAGCAAGCAATCAGCTCTCACTGGGTCTTAGTTTCACCATTCATAAAATGGGCAAAATGAGAAGAGCTACTGCCCATGGTTGTTACAGGGACAAATAAGTCTCTGCGAAGCATTTAGAATGATATTCAGCTCCTCCTCCTCCTCTTCCTCCTCCTCTATTTTCTTTTGCCCTACATGATTGCTGCCTCAAATCTTTTCCTCTAACCTATCATATATTCTGCAGAGAGGAAGATCTTCCTAAAATGTAAGTATGCTTACTCCATAATCTTCTTTAAAACCTTTAAGGACCCTTAACAGCCTTAGGTGAAGTCAGCCCTGATGTGGACACATGATGCCCTTGTGGCTGACTCTATTACTTCTGACCATACCTTGAACTCTTAACTTCAACCTCTGAGAACCCCGTGCGGATGCTTAGGGGTTATTCTAATTGGGGGGAGGGACAGGGCTTGGGTGTGCTCCCTTTCCTTGGGATACTCTTCCAGTTGTCTGATTGGATTCTCCTTTTTGCTTCCACGTTCAGTCCAGGTTTTGTAATCAATCATCTGGTTTTGTAATCAATCATCTTGAAAGCAGGGATTTCAGTTGTGAGTCTGTCTCTGTCTTCCCAAATGAATCGCAGTGTGATAAGTGTCATGAGCAATTTATGCATTTTTGGTGAACACTGCTAAATTGGTAATGTTTGGGGGAGGGGAGAAACTGATGGACTTGAGAACGTCCCACAGCTTGAAGAACCATGTGACGTGTTGCAAACCTCTCAGAGCCTCTTCAGCCTGGCAGCACAAATGAAATCCCATCAAAAGTGACAATGCTGACCTCATCGGCTCAGACCCTGCGTGCTCAAGCCAGGGCTCCAGCCTCTTCGAAGTGCTGCTTGCTGCTCAGGGACACGGAACACCCACTGGAGGCATCTCCCATGTGCTCCTGTAGGGGCTGCTGTGACTGGGTATGGTCCTTAAAGCTACCGCTGGAAGCCTGCTATCCTTGCAGGGACAGGTTCTGGGGTGGTCTATGGTGACCACTGTGAAACTCTCTGTTAAAGGGTTCCCAAAATCTAGGAAAACTTTCTAGTTTCTCTTCAGCTAGTTTGCTGAACAGATTGGTAAAGGTTACTCAGAAACAGAGCTGACTTGAAGGCTGGAACTCAGCATGGTTCTTTGTTTGCCCAAACAAGGGAGCTCGAGCAAGCTTCCCGTTCCTTGCCTCCAAATCCTTACAGTGAGAGTTCTTTTCCAGATCATCCCTCGTTCTCTTAGAAAAATGGCTTCTACTGTTACTTTAACTTCCATCCATTTATGAGGAAGGTCAGAATCCAGGCTGGAATTCCTGCTGACAGGTTACAAACTCTGCTCTGGTAAAATCACACGGGTCAGGCCAATCCCCAGAAAGGAGTACACTCTGAGGATGATTCTAGTACTCCAGTTGTTTGGGTATTGGGCCTCTTTTGTCCATCACCTTGTGACTGCGTGTGCTGAGGGCAAGTTCTTGCCAATGCTCTAAGGCAGAAACTCCTGTTGCTAAATTCTTACCCATTCAAGCAATAGGATGCAATGCTAGGCAGACCCTTAAAGGCTGTCTCCAGGCTCTGTTTGGAGCCATGACATTGCCCATGCATTGCAGAGGCTCCTGTGGACGGGGACAGTGTGGATGCCTGTCTAGTGTTCGTAGTGTTCTCAGGAGGCTGGGTAGGGCAGCTAATTGCCTTGTTATAGAGTGAGCCCACATTCCTTCTATAACTGGTTTCTCAGAAGTGCTGCAGTTAGTGCCTAGTAAATGAACACCGCAGTTTGCATAAGCCTTCTCGGAGACTGCAGGGGAAATGATCTTACTCAAGATCAACTCATCTCCTGTCTCCATCTATCAGAGTCTGACTAAGCAAGCTCCAAGGCTGAGTCACCGGGACTGAGTTCCAGGTACTCACAGTGTACTCAAGTCATCATAACAACGAGAAGGAAAGGACAGAGAGTCCTATGCCCCAGCCTCTTCTGCACAGCAAAGGCAGATGGAAGTTGGGACTCTCATATGTTGACATATGGGACATATGGGACATATGGGACATATGGGACATATGGGACAGTAGAACACAAACCTCTTGGAAAAATACAGTTGGCCCCCTGTATCGGTAGGGTCTGCGTTCATGATTTCTGCATTCACAGATTCAACCAACTGCAGGTTGAAAGTATATTTGAAAAATTATATCTACACTGGACATGTTCAGATTTTTTTCTTGTAATCGTTCCCCAAACAACACAGTAGAAAGAACACTGTTTACATAGCATTTATACCATATTCGGCATTTTTAGTAATCTGGGATTGGTTTAAAGCATGTGTAAAACTGTGCATTGGTTATATATACATAAGAGACTTGAATGTCTGGGAGTTTGGTACCTTCAGGGATTTTGATACCTGTATGGATTCTTGAAGCCAGTTCCTTGCAGATGACATGGTAGAAGGAAAGAGCTGGCTCCAACAAGTTGTCCTCTGGCCTCCACATGACTCATGCATGCTTGTTACACACACACACACACACACACACACACACACACACACACACACACACA